TAGGCCAGGTAATAATTAAAAAAGTTTAAATGATTTTTTAGATTTATATTAAATATATTTACTTTTTTAGAATCAAGGCACACTCGTAGGAGAAATCGTAATTTGCCTACTACAAGGTAAATACGAAACAGAAGGTAAAACTATGATGAGCCTGCGAGGCAAAACTGAAATAGATAGCAAAATCGTAACGCGTCTGCAAGGCTATAAAAATTTTGGTTTTTTTTCTTATTGTTCGTTTAATTTCATTTTTTTTCATATTGTTCATTTTTTCTTTTCGTATCGTACGTTTAATTTTATTTTTTCTTTTTCATTTTTTCATTTCGTTTCGTTTATTCATTTCATTTTATAGTTTTATTTTAGTTTTTTAATTTCATTTTTTTCATCTCGTTTAGTTTTCTTATCGTTCGTTTAATTTATTTTTTTTTCATATTGTTCGTTTTTTCTTTTCGTATCGTACATTTAATTTCATTTTTTCTTTTTCATTTTTTTGTTTTGTTTTATTTTTCATTTCATTTTATTTTCCTAATTTCGTTTTATAGTTTCGTTTCAGTTTCTTAATTTCATATTTTTCGTCTCAGTTAGTTTTCTTTTTGGTTTGTTTTTATTTTTTATTTATTTTTATTTTATTTAAAAAAAAATTTAAATTAATAAAACTGTTGTATAAAATATTTCTGGAAAAATTATATCATAATAAAATTATATTTGTGTAATGAAATCAGTAATCATCTACTATAACGAATAATTTGTTAACGCTATAATGAAGATTCTTATAACGAATCCTGATCAGCTGGATCAGCAACTTCGTTATATATAGGTGTGACTGTAGTTGACTATACTAATCTTATTTTTTTTCCTGCAGTCTTCGAAGATATCAATGATGATGATAAGGCGCTCAATCATTATATGGAGGATAATATCCTAAAACTTTCAAACGTGAAAACTATGACCGATGCCAATGAGGTGACTTGTTGTGAATTTATTTCATCTATTCTTCATGCTTCTATCGCTATAGCTAAAAATATCACCTCTCAAGATATATTCATAGTTTTACAAAAAGACGTTTCTGGTGAAGATGCAACTGGCCGAGTAGATTACATGATCAAAAGTTTGAAAGACCTCCTCTGTATTACTGAAGGAAAACCGCGTAATATCAAGATTGAATATGCTCAGGTAAAATATGCTTGTCTTCTCAGTCTATTGGCTTCGAAATAAGAAGACTAAAAAGTGGTGTATTATATCTCTCAGAATCTAGCACAGCTTGAAAGCGCATTTTAGACAAATAAAAATAAACAGATTGCAGATCAAGTGTTTAGGAGCGACTATTTTGATTACATCTATTGTATCGTGACTATGGGCACAGAGTGGCATTTTATCATATATACTCCAGATGCTATATACTCTACGAGTGGAAGCGAGTACCAAATTAATCTCACAAAGTCCACTGTTAAAGAAAATCCAGAATTACTTCAAAGTAATGTGAAAAGGGTAATCGGCATCATTGTTAGGTTATTAAAGGATTGTGTTAGTGTTGATAGTTCTCCATCTAGCAAGAATACTAGAATCGAAAAAATTATCAAAAAATAATATGTATCACAGGCTATGTCCTGAACCCTTATATTTATTTTTCACATGTAATAATAAAAAATTTTTTCTTGGCAAATTTCAGCGAACTCAGTTCGCCTAAAATCACATATTTTTTTTATTTTAAATATTTACGTACAGTGTATTAGTTATATGTCATCTGAGCTTGAATTATCGAAACAGCGTATCACTGAACTTGAGGCTGAGACCCCGAGTCTTAGAATCAAACTTTCAGTGTCTGATGCTGAAGTAGTTAAACTTAAGCGCAGGAATATCGAGTTTTTAAGAGCGAATAAGGAGTATAACGAAAGACATGATGCTGACAATGCCAAACTCAGGGCTGAGAATGTTGAGTTTAAAGATAGACTCACAAAAGTGGAACAGAAATAGACACTAAATGAGCTAAGAGGCGCTTCGCATAATTCTTTTAACAACAGTTCAACTAGCTTCAGAAATTCAGTTGCAGTACCAGAGACGATAACGGTACTTACCAATTCTGTGAAATGCCTTAACGGCAAATCATTGAAAAAGAAAGAGATGGATAATTTCTTGGTTAAGGCTCATAAGAAAATCGTTAATAGTGAAATAAAGTAATGCAATAAAGAGAAAAAACTTCTACATGAGTCAGCTAAAAATCAAGTCCTGGCTGTTACTTCTGTAGATTCGAAATTATCATGTGACAAAAAAACTGTTACCAATGGTAACGATTAAGATTTGAAATTATCACTTAACACAGGCGATAATATCTCTGCTCCATCATTTATTGAGGAAAACTTATCATGCGACACAAAAATGATCACTTGTACCGATAGCGAGGATGCTTCATCTGATAAAATGTCTGGACTAATTGCTATACAACCGCTTGATAGAAATCAAGTTACTGAGCAAACTTTGAAGCATGAACTTTCTAGGTCTATTTCTTCAGTAGCATCAGTTAAACTACATGATGAGTCCATCTTAAACAACACAATTGAAGGCTCTACGCAGAGATTAGCTTATTGGATTGATGAGGCTATGAGAATGGGTTTAAAAGAAATCTTATGCTTGTATTATTATTCCCTTGAGTTTAAGAAAAAGTAAAAAATATTATAGCTGATGGCAAGACTAAAGATAAGACAGCAAGATCGATGATATACAAAGATATGTTGTAGTATTTACCTAATATCACTCTGGGTAATTTGCGAATCTGAACACATAGAGCTAAAAATATTCTTATGCTATTTAGAGAAAAAGGGTCAGGATAGATAGAATTAAGTTAGTCACTTGTAACGCAAGTGATATTTCTAGATTAACCAATACCAAAATTCAAAATATTATAGATTATGTGAACGGTAAAACCGTTACCAATGGTAATGATCAAAGTCATGTGATCTCAAAACCCGTTACCATTGGTAACTAAAGCTCCTAATGAGTTGAGTTGACTTACGAGTCAAATGAGTTAACTCGAGTTTGAGTCGAGTCGAGTCAAAAATTTTCTGACTCATTTGATTCGAGTCGAGTCATTAGTCGAGTCGAATTTCAACTCGAGTTGACTCACGTGAATTGATGTTATACAAATTACCTTTTCAGGACTTTCGTGTAACTCATTTTGTTAATTTTCTGATTTTTCGATAGCCAAAAATTTCCTTTTTAGAAATATGTGTAACCATATATCTATATTTGGAATCTTGTGTAACCCAATTTGGTTCAATCCCGGAATTCGAAAATATATCAGTTACGAAGCTTTAATTGAATATTTTTAACACGTTTTCTTGAATATCTCAGCGTCAAGTGATCTGTTAGAAAAAAACTCTCTCTCTCCCACCATGCCTATTACTAAACAAAATCCAAAAATTTCAAAAAATTTACAAACGACTCAACCTTATCCAATAAACTTTATTACAAACGACAATAAAAACACAGAACAAACAGACTCTACTTTACATAAAAACAAATCAAACGCTTTAGACATTCCAGTTACAAATAAAAGAACAAAACTCTCTAACGAAGTTCCTCCTTTGACGATTGAAAATGTTATAGACTCTATTATACTTACACCTTCCTCTAAAGTCGACACAAATTCTCCTGAACATCAAACTTCACCTTTTACTCAACAACAAGAACATATAAATATATCTACCATGGAAATTGATCCAAAAACTCCAGCTAAACCATTAAACATTTCAACCAACACCTCAATGTATGCTAATCAAAACTCATCAACTTTCTTGCAACAAAATAACAATACCTCTTCAAATATTGACAAAGGAAAGCAAAACACAATGTGATCTGATGAAGATATTTACGAACAAACGTTTGAAACAGAAGAAAATGACAACGAAAAGGCTGACGCGAACAATTTTACTATTATTACGTCACTAACGCGTTTCTACATGTCCACAGATTCAAAAGATGTGAACGGTTCATCTATCGCAGAGAAAAGTTACACTATTAACAATTATTCAGCCATTTCAACGATTACAAGAGGTCATATTACAATACGAAACAAAGAAAATTCTATATTTACTTTCAATCCTATGACTCCCTAACGCATGCAACTGAAAAAGTCAAAGAATCACAATACAATCCAATCTTTTTGGTAATAGATCTTAACGCTAAACAACAACGAAAAGATGATGAAAAAAGGTGTTGCATAAAAGTTAATGACATACCACTTTTCGTAAAATCTGATATTGTCAGAAATTGTTTTGACAAATTTGGAAGGATCAGCAGATTTTCCATGATTACAAGGGGCCCATAGCAAATAGCTTTTATTGTATATGAATCCGCAGATGCAATTAAAGATTTCTATGATAACAAATGGTCAACTTTCTTATTAGAGTTCCTAGTTAGAGTTGAACCAACTGACATCAACGAACTACAAACTGCTCTAAGACAACAATTTGAATTGAAACTCACAGGGCTTCCTTACAACACATCTCATTTAGACTTGACTAATTTTTTGGTATACATAAATGCAAAATCATACTTCATTCCTAGAGATTATTAATATCGTTTACGTTCATACTCTTACATTAATTTTGATAATGAAGATGACTATGACACAGCTTTTAACTCTCAACAAAAGTTCAAAAACCACATATTATACTGGGTTACACCAGGGGTACAACATTGTACCCAGTGTGGGTTACCTGACTATAAAACAAATAACTGCAATGCACACTCAAACCAAAATCCTTTTAAACCCTTATATGATCGCTTCAGACCTGCACAGTACTGATCTAAATCTAACACATCCAGACCTCCTAATTCAAATTCAGACTCAAATGGGAATCGTTCTTTTAAACCTTCATACGTAGATACCATTTGTTATAACGCTAGCCAAACTGAAGCCAAAAACGTTCCTATTCAAAATCAACCCTCTCCAACTAAGCAACTGTTACCAGACCAAACCAGCTTAAATCAAATTATGGATAACCTTACAAAGCTGGAACAAAAATTCAAAACTTTATCTGATGATCTCATTGCTACGAAAAATATTAGTAAAGAATTATAACAAGGTCAATTGAACCTCTTCATGCGTGTTGAAAACATTGAACAACTTTGTCATATTTCCCCACCGGATCAACAAAACAATCCCAAGCAACCCATTTAATTTATGGATTTAGATAAATCTGAATCAAACAAATTATCACAACCTATTCTTTCCAACCATTCCAATTCAAATGAAAAACCATTACTATCACGTGACAATATCATCGAATTACAAGAACAGAAAATCACTTTGCTCTAAGAAAATTTCAACAGTGCAAAAGATGACTTGACCCAAATCAAAACCGCTATGATGCAATTCTTTCAATCGAATTCATCCAGCTCAACATGAACACTACACAACAAACAGATATGTCTCTTTTTCACAGGCTATGTGATCAAGATAATAATTTTAAAATAGCCATACATAATGTCCGAAACTGCATAGCAAACGAAAAACGCAACCAAATAGAATATTTCTTTACTGAAAATAATTTAGATATATTAGGTTTGTCTGAAACTCATCTAACACTACAACATTCATACTCAATAACACAAAATTTTCAATCTCCCAACCTTCATATAAATACATCTTGTTAAATGAAAATCGCTCCCAAAATTGTCAAGGGGTGGGTTTTTTGGTCAGTTCCTTTATAGAAAAACATATCTTCAACTACTAAGGATTTTATGACAGAATTACTTTCATTGATCTATAAATGAAAAACAAACAAAAACTTAGAATCATTCAAATTTATTTCCCTGCCAATACAAAACTACTAAAGATCATTTATTCAGAATCAAAATACAAAATAAGCTATTAGATATAATATTAGAAGCCAAATCCAAAGGATACCACCATGTTCTTATGGGGGACTTTAACATCGACGTAAAAAAAATTACGCAACAACGCGGAAAAAAGGATATAAAAATTATATTTCACAACTAGAAAATTTAGGAATGATTAATAATCTAAGTTTATTTTATACAACATATCCAACAACATATTTCTCTAATAACTCTTCTTCATCTCTCGATTACATCTTCTCTTCAACATCCCTTACACATGATCTTATCCTATCTACATCCATTAACAGTCAGTCATTTAACTATAATTCTGATCACACCCCATTAATTTCTTTTTTTTACAAAAATAACCTTTTCAAACGTTTCACTTAAAAAAGCCAAAATATCTAAAACAAAATTCTTATATGAGCAGACTACAAAAGAAAAATGGGAAAGTTCTCTTTAAAGTTAAATAACCTCCTCGCTCATGAGAAAGACTTATGTTTACTCATCACAAATTCTCTTCCAAGAAATATTTCTACTCTTAACCAAGTTTGGTCCCAATTCAGTAATACTATCATTCGAGCTGCAAAATCAACACTTCCCAAACAAATGACTACCAACCAACGTTCTACTGATTTCATATATAACCATAATCATTCGTACACATTCTTAAACAAACTCAACAAATTTTATCATTCATGTTATAAACATTTTAATTTACAGTTAAATTTCAATCTCATAAGCCACAACAAATTTAATTATATCATTTACAACTTAAATAACCTCAAGATCCCTACTCTAAATATACAAATCGCATATAACAACAAATCTTACCCTTCATTTCTTTCAAACCTCAAAGATGCTATAATTGTCCTCAGAACTAAAATTCGATTAACTGACAAAATAGAAAACGACCAAAAAATAAGGGATTTTATTCAAAAAAGAATAGAGAACTTTAGAGATAACTCTTCTGTAATGATAAACTCTTGTCTAGAATGAAGAAAGAAAACAATTATTTTAGACTGCGTTCTAATTAAAACAGATGGTCAACCCAGTTATCTCGAACTCAATCCTACCAAAGTTATGGAAGAAACCAGCCATCACTTTCAAAATATTGCAGATTCGATAAACTCGACGAAAGACTCACACCCTTTTGGAATCTTTGGAAATCAAATTACAAGAGTCTAGAACATATCGACGAAAATATTTATGATACATTACTCGATACACCTACTTATAACGAATGGATTGAATAATAAATATACTACTAAATGACAAAGCCCCCAGACCGTCAGGGGTAACTTACGAATTGATCAAACATTTTGGAAAAACCGCTTATAAAATTCTATTCAAAATCTACGAACTATGTTCTGAGCTAAATGATATTCCCGCTGGTTGGAAAATTGCTTACATCTACCCAATTCCTAAATCAAAGCCTTAGCATTGTGATTTAAATAACACACAACCAATCACATTACTCGAATCAGCTAGAAAAATTTACATTAAGCTCTTAACTACAAGACTATCGAATACTATAGTTGAACACAAAATCTTAAAGGGGTTGAACTTCGCTAGATTACCTTACAACTCAACTACTGATCCTCTTCACATAATTAATAATATCCTAGAATCAGCTCGTTCTGATAAATTCCGAGCTTTTTTAGCAAAAAATGATGAGCATGTACAAAATCTAAACATTTTCTTTCAGGACATGTCAAAAGCATATGATAGAGTTAATATTTTCATGCTACAAAAAGCCCTCGCTTGCCTCAAAATACCTAGCACCTTCATAAATCTTGTCACAAATTTATTTACCAATCGTAAAAATAGCGTATTTATGTCACATGACCTGTCTCCAGAATATAATGTTTTAGTGGGCATCGATCAAGGCGAGATAATTTCTCCTCTTTTATGGGTAATATATTATGACCCTCTATTATGCAAAATTCAAAGCGTTAATTTAGGATATGAACTCTCTCAAAAATGGTAACCCAATATCAATGAAAACAATTCGAAAATAGACTCAATCAACATTGCAGTCACTGTGTATATGGATGACACTATGTAGATCTCCAATAGCTTTACAAACCTTGAAAAAATTATAGACATCGCCGATACCTTTTATCAATTAAATGATATCCAAGTAAATATGGATAAATCATTTATAATCACAACCACACCAACACATAGTAGTCTTACTGTACTTAATTTGGAAACAACCAGAAGAGCCATTAAAGTTCCAACTTGTACCAAATCCTCATCTCATAGATATTTAGGAGTATGGATCAGTATAAACAACAACAAATCTTTCATAGTTAAACAATTAATAGAAATCGTCGCCGATTTCATTATTAAAGTCAAAAACAAATCTATGACTGACAAAATGATCCGTTATTTGATCAACACAATCTTAGTTTCTACATTAGATTATCGAGCACAATTGACTTATTTATCAAAGAAGGAATGTGATAAAATATTTGCACCTATTAGGACCGTAATAAAACATAAACTGGATTTCAATAGAAGCATTCCAAATAGTCTGCTCAGAAACAACCTCATCTATCAATACAGAGAATTCTTTGACGTACAATTACAAACTAAACACGACCATCTAATTAAACTAGTTAATCAATCGAATTTAGTAGCTGATACTTTTAGAATTCGTTTAAGACAAATACAGTTTCAGCATCATTTGCACAATAATCCTTTAGTCATCTGGAAGAAGTCAACCAAAGCTCTTAGAAAATCCAGTTTATTGGAATCTTTGATCAATGATATGCACATATCAAACATTTCTTACACTCAACCATCTTCAGACGTATTCAAAATCAAGGGTGGTATAACACCCCTGAACACTATAATCAACGTAACAATGAAAGATTTGAAATCACTAAAGATGCATAACATCTATTTCTTCGAACAATTATTTATAGGAAACAGTCTATATTTGATTTCATTCACAGATATCAAACACAAAGTTTATAATTACTCAACCTGTAATACAACTCCCAGATGGTACAAAAAACTAAGAAATAAAGTAACAGAGACTCCCGTCAACTCATATAGATTATTACCAAAATACGCTGCTTCTGATCCTCAACCATCGAATTTTATTGCTTCAACATCACAGCAGACAATCAAAAGATTCCAATAGACATCGATGTGGGACGAACAATACAAACAAATTAGAATCGGCAGATCACATAAAGTTCCTTTAATTTCCCACGTAGTCCTTTTTCACCATTTTGATAGAACAAACTTACTCAATGATCCCAAATCTCCGTCAAAAAGACAACACACATACACGCCATGTTCTGGATGCCACTTGAACTCAAAAGAGGAAAAACCGAATCAAAATTAAAAAGTGTGCGGAGAATATTATGCAGATTATTCATTAACAGAAACTTAGCTAACGTAATTGATTTGTATGCATTACCGGGCTCTAACGCTATTCATACAGATCGTATCTACCTCACGAACAGTTCTTTATATACCATATCAGATCAAACACTTTTTGTTCACAATAATTTTTATAATAATACCACCTCCTCTCAAAATAGTTTAGATATTTCAACTGATTTTTCTTATAACACAAATTTCTTAAAAAATTATTTGCAAACCAGCCTGTGTATCACATATTAGACGATATCAAAACAAAAATTTATTTATTACACCAACAACATCCTCGAACTTTAGAATTTTATACAGATGGTTCCCATTTGTTCAACCCTAACAATCTTATTACTTACCTTAGTTCAGCTCTCACTTTAGTATTAAATGATCAGGATAATCTTTCTTTCGTAACAGCTATTACCCCAGTTTAGTCTAATTCTTCTCACGCAGAAATTTTCGCTATTTTATTAGTCATTTTACTCACACCTTCCTGTTTGAACATAATAATTTACACCGATAGTCTCTCATCAATACAATCATATAACAAGATTAAAAAACATAACATTTTAAATTATCCTTCTCTTTTCTTCAAGTTACCTTTTTACATTTACTGGTTATATATATTTTTTCTAATTGAAGTCAAGCCTTTGATGGTATCATTTGTTAAAGTTAAAGCCCATTCGGGTATAAAATGAAATGAACACGTTGATGATCTAGCAAAACAAGCCTTAGGAAATACACCTATATCTATTAATATTGACGATACCCCTCATTCCAGATTTTTACCGAAATTTCAGAGTTTACCAATAAATATGTCAATTCGCTCCTTCATCAAAATAATTTCCAGAACACAAGGATTTCTAGATTTTTTTTATCTAAAAAGAAATATCAAATACAACAACTTTCACATTAATTGGCTATATACTTTTAATAATATCAAAGGCA